TAAACACACCTGGAAACTCATTTTGGGGTTGTAAAACAGTATTTTATTTGTTCATCTTTGATTGGGATTCCTTCATCAACCAGTTGCTTTAATTTTATAATCTGACAAATTTTATTCATAGATTTAGATCAAGTATTTCTCGCATCAGGATGGAGTCCAGAACAACTATCTTACTTTTTTGTGCTTTGGTATGACATGATTGGAAAAAACAAAAGTAAATCTAATAACAGAATACCTTTAATTATTAAAAAAAAAGGGATTATTTTTCTGCTCAAGGAGCTGGCCTGCAGTCTATGGTTAAGTCTAACTAATTTTCCCAACTTCATTCTGCTGTCAACTTGTTTGCAAACACTTGTGATGTAACATGAATCATCTGAGATCCATCCACATTCACCTGCCGCGCAGATTGTTATTCAACACTTTGGCTGCATGTGCCAACAGTAACGATGATACATCCAGTCAGAGGCTCGTTCCAAGCACACAGGAGATAAAAATAAAATAAAGGTTCAACTCAGTAACAGAACAAAACAAAAGCCCTTTTTGAACAAAGTAAAAGTAAACTGTGCTATTTTTTAATCCGTCCACTAAATGTTTAAAAGTATATTATTGCTCTTATACCAAAAGATCTATTGCAGGCTTGTTTATTTGAGTCTAAAATCATGTGTCTCTGTACACAGAATGTTAGACCAGCAGGACTTACATTTAATGAGGGGAATACAAGAGAAGTTTACCAGACCAATCGATGCTCTGTGTTACAATTCCAGATTTAACATCAAATCACTGGCAAGCCTGTACCTTCATTGTGCTTCTGTGGTTTTAGTCCTTCTGTCTAAAATGTTCTTCCAAAAACATTTCGAGCAAAGACGGTACTCAAGCATCACCCCTTTGAAAATCACATTGTTTTTTTTTTAGCAAAAAATGATATAATTATATATGAAATCTGGATATAGGCTATACACATTTACCTGCAAAAAAAACTTTTTTAATGGAATTAATTTTCCAAATTACAGCTTAATTATACACCAATGATTCTTAAACAAGAGCTTTTTTATCAAAGATCCTTTTTTGTGAATTTTCATTATTTTTTGTTGCTCTTGATGGTGCTCTGTTTTATGTTGTGCTTTTTTCTGCGTTCTGCGAAAGTTGCCCACAGGAGTGTGATCTGGCAACATTTAGAAACGAAGTCTGTCAGGAGCTAGACAGTCCTGAGCACATGCATTCCAGAAGGGGCCCAATGGGGCTTGAAACAGGAAGTGGTCAAATTTACTTTAGTGTGTGTCAGAGTTGTGATTTATCCACACAGGGGTCAGTGTCAATAAATTTGCCAGGGCAAAACCTAAAATGGAATAATGAGTTCAAGCTATATGAAACAGAACATGAAAATTAGTTTATGCGTTGCATTGTTAGCTGTAGAGAAACAGATGAAGGGTATGCCATCTGGTTGACAATCTAAGGCTGTTTGCTTGAAGGTTAGCAATCCACTCTGAGTGTATTTACTCCACACCCTGCATGTTTGTGTCTGTCCGGCATTCCTTGCATCCTCTGTGTCCAGATTGTTTCTTGTAAATCAGCGCAATGAGCCACACCATCTGCTGTTTCATCTTCATTTGTTCAGAGAAAACACAGAAAGTTTTACAGCAACCATTAGAATGCAAATGCTGGTTAAAGTTAATGTGATAAAGTATGTGTTGGGACAAACCTTCTCACCCTGTAAAGCTGCATAATTTAATTTAAAGGTGAATTTTGGAATTACATTCTCAATCATCCTGATTTACCAATCTGTCAGGCTGTTGAAGTATTTGTTTTTTGTACCCTAACGCTCTTGTTTTCTTTCAAACTCAGCCCTGCAGAGCAGCTGCAAGGTGGTGCGGTGCAGCTGTGATATGTCAATAATGCACTGCTATGTGCAGGCTATCATGCAGAGAGGGATCAGTGTGGCGTCAAGTCTGTATTGCAATGTTCGTAATTAAACTAGACCTTAAGACAGCAGCTTTCATGGGCAGTTGTTGTCCAGCAATGCATACACCCAATGATGCATGTGTTCACTTGTTGATTAGCATGGCTGAGGTGTTGTTTAAGTTAGCTAGATTCCTCAGTGCCTCTGTCCATTTCCATGCTAGAGATCTTTCTATGGAGACAAAACACTCTCATTTGTTTATTGTTGTATTTCTTTTCTCTGCATGTTTAATACTATAGTTTTAAAAAAGTGCGTTATTGCTGTCTGCTGATATGAGCAGGTTGCAACTTATCCAAAGCCAGTTCCCCCTTTATGATTTTTATACAGATCTACTGTTCTAGGATAATACTATTAAAAGTGAGAAAAAAAAAAAGAATTACATCTGTGTATTTTTAGCAAGAGATTGTATGCAAAGTTTTAAAGCTTTAGTACTTTAATAAAGTGTACCAATAATATATAATACTGGGTACTCCAGATCTATGTAAATATTTTCATATATATACGTAAGATTGTTTTTGAATGTGCTTTGAAATAAGTCAAAAAAAATTTTTTGTTAGATACTCAACTTAAAGGATCAATAATTAAGAAATATGCTGTATTCCATGTCTTAATTTAGTGTAAAGTTAACCAAAATCCTTTTCATTTGTAATCTGGGATGGAAGTAACTGTCTCTACTGACAGTTTGGTCTTTTCTTTAGCATTGTGTTAGGGAAGTTTGTCTATTTTTAAACCTGGAGGTACAGGGCAGGACTTCTTTGGTGCAGTGTGCAGCTCCTGCTTACTTCCTGGACCTGGCTTTTGTGTGTTGTTTTGATTTGTAACACTAGGTGTCATTAATACATGTTACTCTTTTTTTAAATGTGCTAAACACATAAAGAAAAAGAATCGAAAGTCCTAATAATCTTTTATAAACTACAGTAAAGAGCATTAAAAAAAAAAACTGATAAGGACGTGCTGCTAGTCCTGTGTTTCGGAATTTTCTTTCACGTATATCATACTGCATTATAGTATGGGTATATGCTGTCTCACTGTAACCGAATGCATTTTATTCCCTACCACTGAGCTATGAAACACTATTAATAAAAAGCCAACGGGCCATGACCATCGTACAATTCTTTAGAAATATATTGAGCTTTCATAGCTTCATACATCCTCTTTTCTTAAATTAATCCTCAAGTAAAATAGATTATCTAGGACCTCAGCCACTGTGTTTATTTGTTGAGAGGCAGAACAACAAGAATAATTTTCTAGAAGCACCACAAATCATGATTGGAAAATACCACATGTCAGGAAAGTATTTGAACAGCCTTCTCTTTACCACTAGACTGATTGTTTTGAGGTAATGATTGATGTTTGTTGTTGCTGTTTCTATGCACTTAACAAAAGGTAAAGATATTTAAAAAATACAGTGTTCATTTGAGATTCAGCTCAGAGGTTTGAAACATTTTTAGTTACAAAATCCAAGGAATACGTAAACATTTTCATGTCTAACTGTGAACGTTGGTCGTTTTTAAGATAAAAATTATCCTTTTTTTTTATCCGACAACACATACTTTTACAAGACAATTAATCTTTTTAAAGTGTCACTGTATCCATACAATAATATGGTGTTCCTTTATTCATGCTTCAATCCTTACTTAAAGATTAATTAAATAAATAATATTATTGCTTTGCTTTCCCTTTTCTGACAGAGAGTTAGCAAGTATGTTAAGCAACAATAAATAAGGTGTTTTTTAACTTTAGTCACAAATAAAATGAATGTATCCAAACTGAGGCAGTCAGAAAGGGAAAAATCCCCTTTTCCATGTATATAATTCTGAAATGTTCTATATTCACACCATGGTCTTTTTCCTTCCTTATTATAAACACTTCAAGTGCAAAGAATTAATCTTGAGCAAAGTTGTTGTACCTTCTTGTAAATCTTCCCACCATTGGTTTATCTGAACTTTAACAAATGAAGGGACCAATGTGTCATTGGGCATGTAAACAGGAACATCTGATGTGGTTGCTCATGTTAAGTTAATGGGGAATGCTGCTTTGGTTTGTACTGAACTGTTCAAACCAGATGGGAAGATTTGACTCCAAGTATGCCGTAGAAACCACAGCTGTCCTGAAAACAAGGGTCAGCAGAATGCTATGATGTCTGATGGGGGCTGGGAGACGCAGGGAAGGAAACAGGATCTGACCTACATTTGTATTGAGGATTCACTGATATAGGTTGCAAACTGCTCCTCAGCAAAGACCAGAATAGTTTTAACAGAATGATTAAACTGAAAATCCAGCTCGTATATAGGACAACCTTTATACTAGCATTTAGATTAGTTTTAGATTTTGAATAATATTTCTTTGAATAAATTACAGAAGTTGATATTTTTTTAGGTAAACTAAGTTAATTGAACACAACAAAAAATATAATTGTATCTCTTAGGTATCTGCTAGGCTACCTAGAAGCAGTTCATTTGCAATTTATTAGACATCATTAGAATGCCTCTAAATCATGCATGTCCAGTTGCAACTGTCTTTAAGGCCAAAGTATTCTCTATACATATACTAAAGCCAGTGTATGCCTATGCGAATATATACTTTACATTTTATATTATAATAATTATTATCCCTTGTATCATGCCTAAATTTGGAGGGTTTGTATTCTTTATTTATAAGATACATTTAATTGTAAATCATCCAAGGTGGGTGAATATTTTACTTCTTATATATTGATTGGAATTCACTTGAAAGTTTAGCCTTGGGGACCATTGTTTACTTTGCTTTATAATGGTCAAAGCAAAAGTAATATCCAAAAGGCTCTATGCCAACCCAACAGTACCAGTCAGTCCACAATCTACAGTAGATAAACATTATATTTAGGGTTAGCAGAAATACAAAAGAAATGCTCAGTAATAGCATTGATGAAATTTTAATACTGGAATTTTAGAAAGAAAATGTAGTTGAAAATATTTTGTGGTTAGTCATTTACTGTCAAATTGACAATGTGGTCAGCTACTTGATAAAATACCCCAAAACACTATGCAATACCTTCTCACATTGAGCTAATGAAAATGTATTATGATTATAGAAGGTAAAACTGAGTAAGATGACACTGCTGCACAAATCCCGTAAAATGACTTTTTGGTTTCTGCTTTTGTTTTCTCCTCTCAGTAGCACACCACGACCCAGAGAACACCTTTAACTGCAGCTTCATTGAGCCCCCATCTGTGGCTGAGCAGCCCTCCCCCTCGTCATGGTCCTCTCAGGAGTCCTTCTCTTCCTTTGAGAGCGGAGATGAAGGGCCTGTTTACTGTGTTCCACATGAAGGTTGGTCATCAAATGAGCAAATAAACAGTTGGTTATCTGGATTGACCTAGTTAAATGTAGAGTTTGCATTTTGCATAGAAGATCTTAGCACACACATGCATGCACAAACACAGAGACGGACAAATTTTCTAAAGAAGCTCAGTTCCCCAATGTGATCATATACTGTAGTTACTCACACATGAGGTGAGGATAGCTGCTTCTAATCACAAGCTGTTTAGATCCAGGTTGTCTTTTGGGAACTAGTCGAGTATAAACAGGAAGTCAAAAAGGTCTAGTCAGCATGGCACATACTCAATGGGTGAGTTGGAGTTTGGTGGAAAATTGGTCATGTTGGTTTCTATTTTTGAAGAGCAGTATGATACTGCTACTCTATCATTTTTTGAAGGGACTTTGTCCTTGTATACTTATATTTTTAAAATAATAAATTTGATTAAGTTATATATAATTAGCAAATCATAATTCAAAAGCACAAAATTAACTAGTAAAGATAATGTTCAGAAAAGGTGATATGCTGTATTTCATATCTAAATAAATGCTGAGAAGAATAGAGGAAAATATACTATAAAGACATTGACTGATTCATAGTAAGTTAAAAATCACATAGTAATTTTATCACCTCTTTCTATGGTTTATGGCAATAGTTTCTTACCCCGTTTAAATGTCGCTTATAGGAAGTTAATCTGAAGTATAAGGCTTTTAGCTAGAACTGCATACGAGTGTACATTATACGCCCTTTACTAAAAATATTAGAAATTGTACGCCCTGTTTTTGGGAAGTACGGCTTTGGTACACCCTAATTTTCGCAACCAGCAGATGCTGGAGTTGGAAAAATATAATTTTTTTCTGATCAGCACACTATATTGCGTTTGGGAGCTGGCAGGGGAGAAAGACACAGCAAAGGATACCCCCGGTACAAGGTGTAGACCCTATGAAAATGTTCCTAGCTAAAAGCCTGCCCGTGTTTATAATAGTTCATAAATTTAAGGTTATGTTAATGAAATCTAAAAGTAAATACAACTTACTGTCCTTTACTTTTCCTCTTCCAAAAACTAACAGAATCCACAAGTGAAAGCAAAGAGAAGCAGAGTCTCAACCCTGTGGCTGAAGACTCAGAGGATGACCCGTACAATGAGGATGCAGGGGAGTACACATGTCTAAAAGACACAAGTGTACCCAATGTGGAAAGCAACGAGCAGTCTATACTCAAGTGCTCTGACAGTGACGTTTCAAATAGCGGGTCTGAGTCTGCCGTCCAATATGCCTGTATTGCCCGTCCGTCTAAGCAGTCCAAGGAGGAGGAATGTAATGGCAAGGATACTGATGGTACCCCTACACCAGAAGCCAAGAGTCATGGAAAACCACCCCCTTCCCCTGGCAAGTCCAAGCCAAGACCACCAGATCCATCTACTAAACCTAAAGTATCATGGATACATGGAAATGCAACAGGGTCACAAACGCCAGAGCATCAAGGGGGAAATAGGGCACTTGCAGGATCAAACGAAAAAAAGAGGAGCTCTAGTGATGGCTCGTCAAGAAATGAGGAACGTAATAAAATAAAAGAAAAGAGTCGAGGCCAACAAAAGAAACATGATGGAAATGAGACCAGTGCAAATGGATCCCCTGGCAAACACAAACAGATACAAGGTAAAAATTCTGGTGATGAGCACAGCAGTCCAAGTCACATGGAGCACATCAATGGTGTTGTTCAAAATGCCCTTAAGATGATAAGCAGCTTCCGAAGCTCCTCACCTGAAAAAAAGAGTGTTGAAAATCCAAAACAGAGCTCTAAAGAGCCACCCAAGAGCCCTAAAGTCATCCACCCTCATATGAATTCTGAGGCGGCCACATTACTGGCTGCACAGCTCAAGGAGAAAACTCAGAGCATTAACAGGAACGAGGGGACAGGACTGACAAAGACCAATGGTCTCTCCCTACCTAAAAATAATCAAGAAAAGCCCACACCACCACAAAAAGCCAAGAGGACCAACTCCAGTGGACTTAGCCAACAGGGCTCAACCAAGCCCTTGCTGCCCACAACAAGCAACCTCCAGAAAATGGTGGCACCTATCACCAACAGTTTTGGAACCCCCGACACTAAGAGCCCGGAGAAGCAGGACTTGAACGGCTCCAAGATGGGGAACCTGCTGGATCCTTCACCAAAGAAGACTCCCATAAAAAAGCCACCAAGGAACAAAGGCAAAGGTAGTAATCTTGATACACCTGATGGTAAAACACCCCAGCAAAAAACAGCCATAATGCCACCACAGGTTGTGAAGTAAATGGTTGAGGAATTTCTGAACATATATTTTTTTATAAGACTGAAGTTTTTGTTTCATACTAGCAGCAACATAGGTTTTTAATTAAGGAACAACATGAGGGCATTGCCTCCAGGACCACTGAGAAATAACCTCTGAGATAAACGGCACCACAGGAGAAAGGGGTTTTATGATAACCATGACGCGTTTGTTACATTTCAAGAATCATCTTTTTGCCTCTACATGTATTGAAGTCACAGCACAACCTGGTCTAAAGTTGAACATAACTCTGACCAGAGAAATTATTTAAAAGTTCATTCATCTCAGCTGCTCTGCAGTGAGCACACAATTATATGTATGTACCACGTGGAGAATAATTATTGACTCCATCAATAGTTTTTTTTGCTGCAGATTCATTTTTAATAAGCTTCTTGGAATGGAATTCACATAGAATGTCTGTAACAACCAAAGTAAAATGAAAAGAATTACCAAATTAAAGCAAATTAGACATCAAGTATGCTCTGACGACTAGAAACTAACTTTGTCTGTGTTCTCTAAATTCATAAGAGCAGCATGCATGGCATAGCAAAGGTTATCGGGATAATTCCAGCCTTTTAGTTTCTGTTTGTTTTTTGTTTGTTTTTTGCAGATTGTCTGATATTTAAGCTTTAAATTAAACCAATATGGCTAACTATTTTTATCAGATTTTATGCCCGTGTTTTTTTTTTGTGTAGAGATACATTTTAATGTCCATAATTTGCCAAATGAATAGTAAAGTCAACTGGTACGCAAATAAATATGAGGAAATTCAAATTGCTTGTTAAGATTTCTGATGATTTTGGAAATGTTATCTCCAAGTGCAGATCTCAAAATGAATACATCTATATCTATGGGTTTTATTGTGGAATACCAATAATAGACTAATTCAGTCAGGTAGAAAAGCAGCTTTTACAACTTAAACTGTTAAACATATTTGTGAGGAAAGCATTGGTAATAAATGTGCCTTTGGGAATTTTTTTCTCAGACGAAAAACAGGACATTAAAATATTTTTTTATCCCACTTCACCAAGGTACAAGTCATTTCTTTCTATTTTTTTCAGCATTTTACTTGTATACGTTGTGTACTTTTTATTATCTTTGTAAGCTGTGCTTATATGACCTTGTGGGTTCCTTTTTTGTGTCAATGAACTGGCTTTCATTTTGTATTTGCTTTTTTTGCTATGTTACTTGTTTTTGGCTCATAATCAAATCTGTAGTAAGAGTACTTTCCTTCTGTAAAGTTTACATTGGCTTTATAATTGTTCTCTGTTGATGTTATTGTTTGTTTAACACTTAACTGCATGACGCAGAGTGTAATTATATGGCATTATAGCTGCAGAGGAAATCTGTAACCATCCTTTTTTTTTCTGTTTGTTGTTACAGCCTCCAATAAGTAAATCCAATACAAACGGTATTGTACAATACTTCCATAATACCACTGTTGTAATAATTACATATACCTAAAACCATAATACTGTATACATATTAAGTCCAGTATATTGCCTGACTGGCCCTTGCCTGTTTTAATTGCCTTACGACCTATGTTTGTAAAGAAGGGCCTAATAAACTGCCAAACCGCCATGGCCTGTACGTTTTTTTTTTTTTTTCTGTTGTTTTTGTGCCACTTTGTTTGCTTAAAGTGTATGGTTGTAAAAGTATGTTTTCAATTCATTATTTGAATAAAGAAGCAATACATCTAGCCAAAGTGGAAACATTCCTGATAAGTTCTGTCTTCCTTCAACTTTAATTTCTTTTTGCGGACACAAAATACTTATTGATGTCACAAACTTGCTATGATTGGGTCATTGACACTTGAATTTCATTCAAAGTGGTGACTTTAGAGTGAAGCTGACAGTATTCATAAATTCATGTTAAGAATAATTTACAATACAACAAAAATAATTACCTCCTTTCTGAATGTGAACTGTCGAATTTTATGAACATGATATAAATCCCTATATTTTTCAATCAGTCCAGCTTTTGAAAGAGTCTTAGGGGCCACAGTTTTTAAAACTGAGGAAATGCTGTGCTTGAAACATAATCAGTGTATGGGTTTTCTTGAATAGCAAAAACTAAGCTGATGGACAGGCGGGCAAGTGGATGGATGGATGGATGGATGGATGGATGGATGGATGGATGGATGGATGGATGGATGGATGGATGGATGGATGGATGGATGGATGGATACAGAAAAGTGGGTATGCTCTATGATTTATTGACGGCTACACACATTTGTTGCATCACACTATAGATATGTGTAATCCTTTCTCATATTTATCAATTTGAAGCATATTTGTGCCCTTAATTGGCATTTTTAAGTCAGGAAATTGTTCCAGCTATCTAAACTGAAATATAGGTCCCATGCTAGGTCTAGAACCTCAGGCTGCTTGCTTTGGGGCTGTCCTCCACACACAGGGCACCCCCTTAAATGCTACAGCCCTAGCTGGATAATGTTTGTATCAGCCTTTCTACCATGCTTCTTGAACTACGAGTATTTTGTGTCTCTAGATAAAAAAGAAAAACATTACACTGGAAAATAATGCATATCCCTCTTTATTAGATTAAATTTGCCTGACACAATATGGCATCAGACCAACCCTTTGTAACAACAGGAAACAAAAACAGAAGATTAATTATTTAATATATGGCTTTGTAACTAGTACAAAGTTTCTAGTTTGCTATTATTTTCTTAAAATCCAGAAGCATAAAGCTTCACAAAGAGACTTCCTTGGCTGTTAGACTTCAGAATGCAATCTGTCTCAGACCCATTTTTTCCTAAATTATTTTATACTTAACCTACACAAGGATTGGTTTTGATTGCCTGTACTCCTTGTCAGCAACACATTTTACTGGATTTCTTCTCCCACTTTTTCCCACAAATTGTCCAATATTTAATCTGACAACATCTTGAATTCAGATTTACTGTCAGAACGGAGAGGAATGTTGACACAACTGCCTCCATCTGTTCGTCCTCAGTTCATAGATGGATAAGATTCTCAGCTGAGTACAGTATACTGTCACATGTTCTCTAGCTTTTCATCCCTGACATGCTGTGGGACAGCATTGGACTGGAGATGTTCAAGTCACTGTGTAAACTCTGCTGCTGAAATGTCTAAGTTCTTGTTCATGTTTATGGATTCAGCTTTTCTTGAAATAATTAGAGTAAAACAGTTCTAATTACCTTTGATGGATGTCCAAAGAGAGACATTTTCACTAACTGACTTCAAGCCAAAGAAAAGGGCACAAAGGAGAAACTGTAAAAAACAAAAAATATGTCAGAGTTTTAGCCATGTAGCAAAGGGGCTCACTGACATCTTAGCTGGCAGGCTAAACACGAGGTAGACTCTGGAGGCTCTCTGTGTGCCAAGTCTGTAGAAACAGCAATTTTTGAAGTCAGGCCCTATGAGTCAGCCAAATGCCTCGGACTTAAGAAACAACAACAACGACAAAAAAAAAAGTTTCCCCTTCTTGCTGTTTCCATAGTAACAAGAACAGATTGGAGCCACATCTGGTAGCCATTTCAGTCCTTGCAAGGAAAGGAAGAAGGAAATTTATGAGTGAGGGAGAAAAAGACAAATATTTTCTGCAATGCAAAGCAAAAAGAAAGGAGAGTCAAATTACACTTGAAAGTGACTAAAAGTAATAATTCAACAACAGAATTAGTTAAAAGAAGGGAATCCTACCCAAGATTTATAATAAGTTATGTTTAAAAGGCAGACAAGTTTAGTAATGCGTTTTATTTCAAATAAAACTCTCTACCTTTGATTAAAATGGGTCAGGAAGAACAATGCAGTTTTTATGTTGCTTTTTTATATGCTTGGTCATGTGAAATGTTGTCATTTCCTTGCATCAGACACAGCCACAGGAGACTTAAAAAAAGAAAAAAAATTTCTCTTCTCCCTGTCGGCACTCAGTCTGAGAAAGATTATCTAATTGCATCCCTTCCTACACGATAAACGCTGTTCCTCAGTTGTGTGGAAATGCAGAAACTATGAAATGACTTTTACTGGAAATGGAACTGGTGCTTTTTTTTTTTTAGCCAAAACCACGGAGAGCTGAAACCAGCGTGCAACCAGAATGATGGGGGCTGAGAGGGGGCGCAGTGCTAGCATTGTATGTATTCATAGATTTCCAGTGGCATCTACCCACTCTGTGATTTAAGACTGTCCTTATAATAAGACATGAAACTGCTCTGTGTTGGCATGGAGCTAAATTAGGGTGTCTTAACTGCATGAATTAAAGCCAACCACACATCAAGGCGACCTCCCAAACAGTTGCTCCGACGAGCTGGCGAAGTTTAGAAACTGGGTCAGAACAGCTGAAGCTTGAGTTTATTTTGGGTGGAGAAAAGTATTGTTGTAAACGTCATTTATGAGGCAGAAAGCTGCTATTCATTTTAGGGTAGCCACCATTATGGTTCCTGAGATTTCTCATATGGCTTTAAGCCTCATTACTGTTATATTGTACTTAAAAAATAAAACCTGAAATATTTTCTTTTGTGTGAGTACATCCCTAAACTAAGAAAATTTCAAATGTCAAGGTTCTATCCATCAAGTCCTACTATTTTTCTACCCTTTGCATGTTTCACTATGCCTGTGGTGTTTTTGGAGTAATAAGTGACTCTCCATGGCCCTCTTGGCTGTTCCTTAGATCAATTATCTTCTTTCTTGGCCTGTAGGTATAATTGAAGAACATTTCTTGGTAGGTTTGAAGTTGTGCCATACTCTATCTGATTTTATATATGGTTTTGTGTTTTAACTCTTTGTAGATCATTCCACTGTCTGTCTGTCTGTCTGTCTGTCTGTCTGTCTGTCTGTCTGTCTGTCTGTCTGTCTGTCGCACTGACTCCCATCATGATGAAGTGCATCGAAAGGATGGTGAAAGAACACATCTCCAGTCTGCCGCCAACATTCGACCTCTCCCAGTTTGCCTGCCAATGGAACCACCCAGCTGAGGACGCCATCTCCTCCTCTCTTCACCTGAGCCTACTACACGTGGAAGAGAAGAGCACCCACATGTGGAGTCTGGTCCTGGACTTCAGCTCAGCTTTAATTCAATCATCCCACATCATCTGATAGGCAAAGTGGAACAGCTGGGCTTCAATAAATCCCTCTGCAATTGGCTGCTTGACTTCCTCACAAACAGACATCAGTCAGTCCAGGTCGGACAGAACAGCTCTAAGGTCATCACCCTAAGCACAGGCTCCCCTCAGGGCTGCATCCTGAGCCCACTGCTGTTCACTCTGATGACACATGACTGCGCCCCCAGGTTTTACCACCAACCACACCAAGAAGTTTGCAGATGACAACATGGTGGTGGGCCTCATCAGAGATGACAATGACCTGGACTACAGAGAGGAGGTGGAGCAGTTGGTGGGGTGGTGCAAAGATAACAGCCTGATCCTGAACTTGGAGAAGATGGAGATCATCATCGACTTCAGGAAGAACCGGCCTAACCATCCTCAACTGCTCAACAACAGTTTCACTGCAGAGGTGGTCAGCAGCACCAAATTCCTGGTAAAAGAAATAGGATTACACTATATAGTCCCAGCTCTATATAGTGATTGAGGGATTTAGGGGTTAGGGCGGACGTTCAGACGCAGCCTTGTATGAGCTATACGAACAGCAACTTTTAAACAGAGCATCTACTGTATGAGGAGCAATGGGCCAGTGCCTGCTCTTGCTTGCTTAATAGGTGCTCCCTTCGGGAGCAGGTACAGGGTTGTGCATGTGCATTTTCTTGTCTCCTCGTGGAGAGACTTTTAAAAACTTCCCGAAAATCCTCCACTATACCTTTAAGTAAAGGTGTAATTACAGCTACCTTAAAAGCGTTTAAACCAGTTCAAATCCTATAGTTACCTCAGATCCTCACCTTCCAGAGATATTACAGTAACCAGTAATACTTAGAGGGATGCCAATCATCTTAATTTCATAGAATCAATCTCATTTTTTTTTTTTACAGTGTCCTGTCTGGCAATGTGGCAATAAGAATAATTGTCTTGATGCCAAAAAGAGCCCAACAGATTTTACTTTCACAAGTGTAACAGTATAGCTATTGCCATATTGCTCCACTTGTTTCATGCATATAAAATGCTTTATTATACTTATGCAGGGAGTTTTACAGTTTATACGGACACTGCAATGTAAGTAGAGCAGAAAAACAGAAGAAGAAAGGGGAAAAAAGAAAAAAAGAGAAAAGATGAAAGAAAGAAGAGATAGAAAGGAGATAATGACAAAACATTTTCAGTCTGCTTCATCACCTGCAACGAAATGAAAAAAGAACAGCACAACCGAAAGACATGGTACAAGAAATACAATAAAGCAACACCTTGAAACTATCGCTAAAGTAATATTATTAAGTCTGACATGTACTCTGTGTTACCTGAAGATATGAATGTGGGGTTTCTGTTTGGAAGTGAATCTCTGAGTACCTGGAACCAAGCACCTGTAATTCAATCAATCTCATTTTTAAAGAATTTCATAAAAACGTTACTGCTAGGAGCAGGGGAAATGGATGGTTTAACAGAGCAATGATTCTGGGTGAGTTTGGCAACTGTATAAAAAAATTAAGCATTATTCTTATTATCTGCTATTAATGAGTAGTAATATGCTGTTTTTGCTTTACGAGTGTTCATCCTACAGTATACAGCAGTAAACTATTTTTCCAGAACAGGTAGGATTCCTGTAGGCATTTAGAGCACGATTTT